AATAAAAGCTAGCTATTTACTTATTTTAACTACTTATTATATATTTATATTAGTATAAAACTATAATTTAAGTACTATATTTAAAATTTTAATATAATATTAATATAGTAAAATTTATATATTTTAATATTTTATTAAAAAGTTTTTTTTTTTTAAATTACTAAATAGTATTAATTAGTAATTACTATTTAGTAATTACTAAATTTTTTTTTTAGTAATTACTATTTAGTAATTACTAAATAGTAATTACTAGGTACTATACCTAATTAGGCTTTACTAAATAGTAATTACTAAATTACTAAGTAATTACTTAGTAAACACCCATCCATGCCTAGTTGCGACACTCACGCGGTAGCGCGCTAAGCAGTTGTTATCGATAGAGAGCTTCACATATGCCCCACGCGACTGTTGCCTTGATCACCAACCCTCGCGGGATAACTTGGCCATTCATTCTCTCGATCTGAACAGAGTTTCAGCCGATACATAGGGTGATTGTTTTTAGACTCCGAGCAAGTGTTCCCAACTCCGTCGGCCCTCACGAAACAAACAATCCGCTTAGGCCTCCGAACTTGACGCAACCAGGTCGCTCAGGACGAATCCACTATGGCTTCTCAAGCCGTCGCCTCCGCCTTACAGCAGGTTGAGGGAGCTCCTGTGGGCGAAAAGCCGGCACAATATACATCGCTGCTTCAACATATCACCGCATCCTCGACCAACCCCGCGGCCGACCTCAACGCCTACGCACAAGCTCTCCTAGACGACTCAATAGGCATAGTCGTCCTGCGACCGCTTCTCGCTGCCTTCGTTGATGCCTTCCGAACTATAAAGAACCCAGACGACAAGATCGAAGTGGGCGAGCGCGTCATCACGCTGCTACAATCCAAAGGTGCAGGACAGTACGAAGAGCAGGATACACAGATTAAGCATGCGCTGGCAGACGCTTTCGAGCAGAACGACGACTACAGGAGGTCGGCGCAGACACTCGCGACCATCAACCTGGAATCAACTCAGAAGTCCGTCTCAGCAGATGACAAGGCCAAGGTCTGGATCCGGATAGTGAGATGCTACCTTGAAGTGGACGATCCGACAAGTGCCTTTACACATCTGAACAAGATCAAGAACATTCTGTTCAACGTTCAAGATAAGGAGACCAAGCTAATGTTCCAGCTCAGTCAAGCTCGAATACTCGACTCGCAACGTTCTTTTCTGGACGCTGCGCAGGCATACTACAGTATGAGCAACGAGCTCATTATTCATGAGGATGAGCGTCTAAGCTTCCTTGGAAAGGCCATCATCTGCACGGTCCTTGCTCCGGCAGGTCCGCAGCGAGGAAGGATGTTGGCCAAGTTATACAAGGACGATCGAGCAAGTCAAGCCGACGACTTCGCAATCCTAGAGAAGATCTTCCTAGATCGTCTGCTCTCACCCGCCGAGATCAAAGCTTTCGCCTCGAAGCTAGAGGCTCATCACCTCGCAAAAACCGCCGATGGCTCAACAGTTCTCGACAAAGCTATTCTTGAACACAACTTACTTGGTGCTTCGAAACTCTATAACAACATCGGATTCGACCAGCTAGGCGAGCTACTGGGAATCGACGCTGAGAAGGCAGAGGACTATGCAGCCAAGATGTTGGAGCAGGGTCGTCTCGCAGGATATATTGACCAGATCGATCGACTCATCTTCTTCGAGGGCGAGGCCAGCGGAGAGCGGAAGACGGGTCATGCGGAGCGTGTAGTCGGCAACGAACTACGGAAGTGGGATGCGAACATCGCAGGACTGGCAGAAGAGGTGGAGAAGGTTGCATCGGCGATCCAGAACCAGTATCCGGACTTCTACGCTTCCCAAGTGGTACATTGAGAGCGCCAGCATTTGAAGGTATACGATTGAAACAACATCCCCATTCGGATGGATGGATGCTCGGCAGGCTCAGGCCAAGACGGCCAAAGGCACTGTCAACACTGACAAAGCAAGCGTATTGTTAGATAGATGTACCAGATGCTGAAAACTGGCTGACCAGAGCTGCGAAGTTCACACGGACGCATTAGTGCTATCGGTAGACCCGAAGCTAGAAGGTGTTAGGCATACGCACTTCGAATTCATGCAATGCAGTATGAAGTACTTGACAAGTTCGCTTACACTCTTGATGTGAAAACTACTCTGCGCCAGCCTGGTATGCCCATGATATTTACATTATAGTACATCCCGTATATCAGCAACCAAATGTTAGACTCCGTCCATTGCATGCATGCTCGGCCTGCCTCTTTTAAGCTTGCACGGTATTTTTCTCTTTTGGCTTGATGGCCTCCTCATACTGCTCCAAACTCCTCACCTCCAAGTCACTAATTTTCATAACGGTAAAATGCAGTTTACTCTTAACATGCTTAGTATGGCGCTGCCGTCTCTTGGTCTTCTCCTCCACCCTTAACGGCTCGCTCTCTATGCCCACTACTCTCGCCCTACACGTGAATATCCGCTCGTCCAGATAAAAGACCTTCTTTCCGTGATCCGCGTTGCCTTTTACAGGCTCGGGCGCTTTCAAGGTGTAGTCTCGGCTGCCAATGTGCGTTGCGCGATTGAGCCGCAGGACGTCGCCGGGCTTGACGTGAGGCATGAGGAATGGGAGACGCAGTGTGTCGCCTTTTGTAAGGAGGTACGGTCGGCCGTGGATGTGAATTGTTATGTAATGGTTGGGTTGGGAGTGGAGTAATGGGAGGAGGTTCCGGATCGTGGGTGTGATGTGTTTGGACACAATATCTTCGCGAGCATGTGGGCTTGGCTTTTGTTCCGAAGCGGCGGGCTTCGGTGTGTTGGAGGAGAGTTTCTGTGGCGATTGGACTTTCGCTATTGTGTCTTTTGGGATGTGTTGTCCGGATCGAATGAGTGGCTCTGGCACATTGCCTGTCTCGAGGTGATGCGATACCGTCGTTATTTTAGCGCGGAGAGGAAGAAGGAATGTCGGCGGCAGTATTGATCGCGATTCGAGCAGCGCACTCCTTGCAGATCGGGCGAGCAGCGCCATCGTGAGATAAGCAATGGGGTGATGACGGCTGTGGTCCTTTTCTTGACGTTGCGGAGCGAGATTTCGGGGGAGCACGATTAGGTAAGCCGTAGACGGGCTAACGTGAACTTTTGAGATCTGGAGAAGTTTCAACCTCACATCACAGCAACAAAGGCGAACAGGCAGCAACTATTGAGATCTGGTTCAAAGTAAAGCAACAAAGAGGGAAATACAGCAACGATGCCTCAAAATGAGTATAGTAAGTGTTTCTATAATAGAGCTAGTTAAATTACTAAGTATAAACCAGTGGAAAGATTCTCCAAACAGTACGTCCTCATAAACTATTCCCCGCCGTCACGATATTTCCTCATTACAGAGGCTAACCACTCCACCACAGGCATGGCAAGCGTTTCGACTACGAGGAGCGCAAGCGCAAGCGCATCGCCCGTGAAGGCCACGATGGCTCCAAGAAGGCCCAGAACTTCCGCGGCCTACGGGCCAAGATGTACGCCGAGAAGCGTCGCAAAGAGAAGATTCAGATGAAGAAGACGATCCGCGCGCACGAAGAACGCAACGTCAAGACGTCCGAGCCCGCCGAACCCGCTACTGAAGCGCTACCCCAATACCTCTTGGATCGCAGTAACGAGAAGAATGCGAAGGCGCTGTCGAGTGCTATCAAGCAGAAGAGGAATGAGAAGGCAGCAAGGTTCAGCGTGCCGCTGCCCTCTGTGAAAGGCATATCAGAAGCAGAAATGTTCAGTGTTGTCAAGGTAATAAAACCCTTTATGAAAAGCAACAGGCTCCCCAGCTGCCTTCTGCTGCCCAGCCCGCACCAGCAGCTTCTCGTCAAGTCCCAACGTTCTCAACCCTTAGAGCCAGTCCCTTTCCCGAAGATACGAATTTACTTTGCCGACTTCCCTATTCTACATTGTTCTATCAAAGGGGCCTTCAACCTTGAAGGTGCAGCTAGGGGCCCTCAACCTTGAAGACTTGCAGCGTATAAATGGATGCTCTATCAATGCTAATTTCATTCTTATAGACGGGCAAAAAAACGGCGAAAAAGGCCTGGAAACGGTATGTTGTGTTTGCGCTAAAGTCCGATGCCAAATAACTAATATGAACTTAGCATGATCACGAAGCCAACTTTCGTCGGCCCCGGCTTCACACGACGACCTGTGAAATTCGAGCGCTTCATCAGACCAATGGGGTTACGCTATAAAAAGGCAAATGGTAAGACGATTTTCGAAAAAATGTGAAGACAGCATAATGAGAAGACTGCTAATAATAAATTTCTAGTGACACATCCACAACTCAACGTAACGGTGCAGCTCCCCTTGATCTCAATCAAGAAGAATCCACAGAGTCCTCTTTGTATGTGTTGTCTCATCCAGACTTGAGGTAATCACGCTGCCGATCACAGATTGATTCGAACGTGCCAATGTAAGGACTTGCACGGCTTCACGGAGCACGCAGTACCACTTGCACATACGAATCAATTAGTCGATCAGCTTGATTGTTTCCAAGTCTAGTCTTACTCATGTGGCCGCATTCATTAACTTACAACAGACACGCAATTGGGTGTGCTTACGAAAGGAACGATCATCGAGGTGAAGTTAGTAAATCCCTAAGATATCTGTAGAACATACGCTGATGCCTCTTCTCTTTTAGTGTATCTGAACTGGGGTTAGTCACAACAGGTGGAAAAGTTGTTTGGGGACGCTATGCTCGTACGTACCCCAATATCATAGTCCAGCTATGGAGACTAACTCGCCGACAGAAGTCACAAACAACCCTGAAAACGATGGCTGCTTAAACGCTGTCCTGTTGGTGTAAAGCTGTCCGGCCCAGGAAATTGAATGCATTGTATGGCGTTACGGTCGGCCAATTCTTAAGGCGTTCGGGTGAACACGAAAAGATCACAGAGCTTGCGAGGCAGAACAAAGCTAGCCGATCATGAAACTTCTAAATTGCGACGGGAGACGTATGATAGACATATGACAGAGTATTAAATTAAACATGGATATTATAGGGTCTCTGGTGCCCTATTCATGGTCGATCTGATAGGAAGGAGCACACAATTCACAAGTGAGCCTAGACCAGGTATGATTGACTTGCTAAATAAGGGGTTAATCATTTATCTCGATAACAGACTGCCTAAATATATTCTTACACCAGACATGGAATGCCCGTGTATCATGGCAACGAGCCTTCAACTTCCGATTTTCGATAGAGAGTAATCTATGTCCTACCAAATCGCATTTGGCCACTCCCCGTTGCCTCCAGCAGTCTTGCCCCACGCTTCTTTGCCTTCCTTGTCCTTTGCCCGCACACTCTTCTTTCCACTATCTTTTTCGTTCTTGCCTTTCTCACTCGTCTCCCTACTGTGCTGCTTGACCCAGCTCTCTGTCAAATCCCTTGCCACAGCCTCTGTTGCGTCACTGGGCCGCCGCGCTTTGTGCTTATGATGCTTAGGGGCATGCTCCTTCTTCGCGTGCTCCTTTTCCGCGAGTTTGGCCTGCAGCTTGAGCATCTTCGCGATGAGTTGGTCTTGCGGAAGTTCCTTGAGCTTATCCTTCGCTTTGGTAGTTGTAGAGCCGGGGGTGGGAAGCGTAAGGTGACCGTGATGGGGGATCTGGTCGCCGAACATGCTCTTCAGCATCGAGCGGCTACGGTATTTGAAGCGGAATACTGCGTACTGTATCTATTGTTAGCATCTCGAACCGTAAAAGTCAAAGTTACTGTAGGTTCTGGGATGGGATACTCACAGGCATGTCTAGACGATCCAAGTACTCCGGCCGGCCCACCAGATGGCCATACTGCATCCCCTTCCCAGCTCTAACTTGATGTTCAATACCCTTCTCACTCGCTGTCTTTTTGCTGATCTTGTACAGTGGTTCCTTGGGCACAATTGACGGGGCCTTCGAGCCATCGTAGCCCTCGGGAATCGGCAAGAGTATCTTCTTCGAAGGTGGAGGCGGGAATTGCCAGTGTGCTTTTGGCGCAAGGTCGGACGCTGTAGAACGACTTTGTCTATATCTAGAGAGAGATTTGCTGGTTTGTCGTTTCGAAGTCGAGGTGGCTTTGGCGGGCTGGTCTAAACTTGTGACAGGCTCCCAGAGGGTTTTCGTGTTCCATTGGACAGCGATATTTTTGTCGGTAGTGTCTTGGTTATTCCCTATGTCTCCCCAATTACCCCATGGAGCATCAGCGTCTTTGGTGGTCTTCCAATCGTCCTTATTCGTATCCCAAGCATCGGCAGCTTCGGTATCTTTTTCCTTCTCTACCTCTTTCAAATTGTCTTCTACATTCCATGCAGTATTGTTCGTGTCCCAAGCACTAGCTTGAACACCCTTTGCGTCATCAGTTGTTTTCCACTCAGCATTCTGGTTATCACCCATAGCCTCCCAGCTGTTTGCACCCTCTTTACTAGTGAACGTTTTCCCCCAATTGCCGGCACCAATATCGTTCCAACCAGTTTGTTTTTCAGCATTGTCTCCCCAAGACTCCTTCGCATCATCAGACTTTTTCTTGCTGCCCCAAGACGATGAAGAGGCTGAACGACTGCCATGGCGATGATTGCCTACGACACTTTGTGGGGAATTCTGCAAGGTAGTAGCGTATGGGGCAGGTGGTTTGTATGAAGAGGCATAGCTATTCTTCCTCGGCTTCTCCGGTATAGCACATCCCCAACTTGGCGGTGGGACTATCGAACCGGCAGGCTCAGTGTGAATACTGGCTTTCCGTGAATGTACTGCAGCTGGAAGCACGGAAGCCGGGACGTTCATCATAGTTGGTGTGAGTCGTGTCACTACGGAAGGAGCTGGCCCCGCAGGTATTTCTGTTGGCTGCCAAGTAGGGGCATGGTATGAATGCCACGATGACTTTCGTTCATGGTTACTATGAGCAGACTTTGAATGGCGACTTCGTCTATCCTTGCTTCGCGGCATGTGTAATTGACTGCGAGGGTGATATGGCTGTACAGTACCTTCCGAGCTTTTTGAAGAAGTGATTGAATCTGACGTAGCTTCGATATGAGTCCAGCCTTCGTTGTCCTCAGACGAGGATCCGACTTCATCTTTTCGTCGAGAGTGTCTCAGACGAGACTTCGAGCGGGTTTTTCGCGATTGGACAGTGTTTGGGCGGTGTCGCTCGCGTGTGCGAACTGTAACTGGCGATCCTGGGCGTGAATCAAAAGAACTTGGAGCAGTTGGCACTCTAGACCTTGCACGTCGCCTATGAGCTTCCCAACCTTCGGGCTTCTTTGTAGTCCAAGTCTCATCTGTATCCCATGAATCCTCTGGCGTCTCCTCATGTGAGTTCCATCCATCAGCGTTGGAGCTCTCCCAGGCAGGCTCTTCGTTCCATGTAACAAAAGTACCTCTTCTGTTCCCGGCTTGATCCTGACTCCAGCCGCCTTGTTGCTGGCCCCAAGTTTTGCTGTGATCATCATCGAAGTTGTGTATAGTATGTCCAGTCGGGTCTGGTTGCTGAGACATTTGCTCCATCATCTTATGTGGAGAAATGGGCCACGCTCCCGGGGGCTGACTTGTCTTTGTGTTAAGTGCAAGATGATTGGGTCTGATATGGACCTCTGGAGGCGCTTCCTTTCGTCGGGATTCTTCGACACCTTGCTTGACTGCTTTCGTTAGAAGTCTGTCAAGCCAGGTTGAGTCTACACCTTCACCAGGAACAACGGTCACTGTAGCACTGGGTGGACGATTATGAAAAGGTTCTTCTGCCGGAGGTAAGGGTCCGCTGCCATACTGAACCCCGGGATAGGGGAAATCCATTGGTGATCGTCGAGTGCCGGGGCTGATAGGCTCGGTGGATCTGGAGTGCGGCCGTGGGTGTCGTGTTATAGAAGCTAGAGGAGAAGTTTTGCTAGTCATATGAGTACTACGGCGGCTTTGTGGCGCAGCATTTTCCTGGCTCTGAACTGTCTCAGCATACGGCGAGCGATAAAATGGCCTTGTTGGTTGTGGCCCATAAGCATTACCAAAGCCACTAACAAAATGCCCGCGGTCGTCATAAGTCGGTCTTCCATCCGGCGTTCGAGGTTGTCCATCTAAGCTAAATTTATGTGAGATATCACCGGCGCCGTCCAAATTCATATGTGAAGCGGTTTTTGCATTGCGGGAACTGGCACACCGTAGGACGATGATTTCAATACAACCAATATTATCGAGAATACTAGGCGAGCATAGATCGGGTGCGTCATCTGCAGATGCTACAGGTAGTTAGCGAAAGGTACTCAATTCTCCCTGAGTATCACTTACCGCTATTGAGCTTCTCGAACGTCCACTCACGCGCAACCATCGAGCCGTCCTGTTGCTTTTCCTCCTTCTGACGGACTCGGAAGTCGACGAGTGAACGGCTGTCCGAGGGCTTGCGCAGTTTCAAGTCTTGTCTGTTCCGATTGCATTGGTACACGCCGTCTATAAAAACGTACATTGAGAGCCCAGGGGCGATGAACTTGTTGGAGGTAAGGTGGACTGAGAACGGCTGCGGCCTGCTCGGTACAGCGACAAAAGTCTCGACGAAGCCATCTCTGTAGATAGTACCAAATTCTTGCAAGGCTTGTTGGCTATCGCAGAGCTCAATGGAGCAGTTGAGGTCTCTGAGCGAAGGCATCGTTAACACTGCACTGTCGGCAGTGGGCGTGTATTAGGGCCCTCGGGAGGTAATATGCTTGATGGTGAGGTGCGACAAGCGGCGGCAGACCGATCTAGAGGTGAGGGAACCAAGAAAGAGGTTGGTCAAGGTGACTGGCGGTGAGGTAAATCCGTGGAAATGGTAGAGAAGGCAGAAGGACTTAGGCCCGGAAAGAGAAATAGGCTATCGGAGGCATAGGAACCCCGAATTGATGTGTACTTAGGTTATGTTGAAGTGAAAGCAGGACTGTTCTCAATGAAGATTTGCGTGAATAGAGTCATGATATAGATCCCCAACCTCAAGTTTAACATGCGACATCGGCTGCCATTCGCACCACGTACACGATACCTTCACATCGCAGACGCTCCACTTGATTCAGCCTATGCATACCGTGGAACCTCAGAAGTACATGCTGTCGCAAGGTTGCGCAGTGTGAATGTAAGCTTTCCTGTGCACGTGGCGTGCTACGACAAACGGTGCAAGCTCTGGTAAGTATCGGGTCATGGCTACACTTGGCAAGGGTTTAATGGTCGGTCAAGGAGAACAGCTGCACCATTGAATTAAAGTAGTTCACCAATAACGATGGGTGTAGAGAGTTGGTGCACCGCACGCGGGCCTTTTCTCGAAGGTGCAGCAATCGCGCTAATGCAGGTGGCTTCCCCCGTGTAGTCCGCATATCGGGACTTCGTTTTCATGTTGTTAAGAAGGTGCAAGATGAGTTACATGTGTCCAAAAGTGTTCTACTAGGTGGACTCTTTCGTGTTTGAGTAGACTCATCAGGAATTTAGTATGTCTGCTTCAAGAAGCGCCTTGTGGTACATGCATAAAAAATCCTCCGGATCTGCACCTTGTTGGCTATGCAATAGTATACGTGCGCAACCAAAGGAAAAAAGGACTACGAAGTATGCCTTCTCAAATCTAATTATGTCCTGGTTCGGCCGTATCCAACTGCTCCATACTCAACCACTATAGACCTCCGGAGGGAACGCTCCAGTGTGCAAAGCCCCGTGGTGTGGTCAGATATACCTACTTGCACCTATATTGATCCTGCGGATAGATCTCTTGAGTGTCGTTTTTTGCATCCTTCACTGACATCCTCATGAATCTAGCTTCATCGTCCCGCAAAGCGAACATGTCCACCATTCATTTTCCATGAACGTCCCACACTCCAGACAATTCCAGCCCATCCTTCCTTTCGCTGACTCGAACGGTGTAGCTCCTTGTCCCCTCAGGCCAGATTGAGGCGGCGGTTTCGGTAGACTTGGCGCCATATGCGACGGCCCGAAGCGCTTATGCTGTGGTATTGGCTGAGGGGGTTGTTCAAGGCCGCAAACTTCGCAGGTCAGGAAGTCGAGGGGGTTGTGCAGCGTGCATTGTGGACATGCCCACTTATCAGGATCGGTGGGGACGGTGATTTGTTGAGGTGAGGTGGGTGGTGGAGTGGGGGGGAGCTGCTTGTTGCGAAGTTGTTCTTCATCTTGAGATATCAAGCGTGACGATGTACGGGAAGCCGTCGGCCGTGATGAAGAAGACGAAGTTCTGTTCTGTGACTTGGTGACGAGACGAGAGAGAGGACGTCCTTGAGAAAGGGAAGAACTTGGAGTTGAGTATGTTTGTGTCGATGTAAGACCTTCTTTCGACCACTCCAAGCCCTGAGAAGAGCTCGCCACCGGCGATGCTGTCCGCGAAGGAGGATTGCTGTCGAATTGTAATCCATTCTGAGGATCCCAACTCAGGCCGCCTCCTCCAGTTGGCGCCCCTAGTCTTTGCATCTCCTCCTCATACATGAGATCTTGCAGTGCATGCGCAATTGCGAGGTCGTTTGCATCATCCTGCTCAGCTGTTGTCCGGAACCCATCCTGCTCTTGCTGGTTGACCAGCCTCCCAGCTTCCGAGCTACCACTTGCGCATCCTTCAGTGATACTAGTTCTTCTAGACGCTGCGTCCGCGATGACCTTGCGCATGTCAACGCCTCGTGCTACTGCCCCGCCGCCCAATCGGTGGCCGCCAGTGTTGGCATTGGTGGTAGATTTGCGCTTCTCAGCAGCTGTTCTCGCCTGTCGTCGCATCTCTTCGAGTGGAATACGCTTGCCGCCGAGCTTCTTACCTTGCGTCAGAAATCCTTCGCCGGTGTAACCCTTCATGAGAAGGGATTGGTGTTCGTCGCGAAGCTCGTTCCAGAGATTGTTGAAATCGGCGTTGTGAGGGCCGAAGACAATGTGGGAGAGCTCGTGTAATAACGTGTCTGTTACTTGCTCCATGGACAAGAACTGTCTAGAGTCATGATGGTATCTCAGCCTGATGAGGATCCTCTCTGTGCGATTGATGTTTAAACCTGAAGCTTACTTAGCCACAAGGCTCGATCCATCTCTTTACTGGCAACCTACCTAATAGCTGCGGCTCATCAGGTAAAAATTCAGCCAAGGTCCCTACTTTCCAGCCTCGCTTTCGCATCATCGGCTTGACCATAGACGCAGCCTTGCGGAGCATGTGTAGCGCTTCTCCGTCTCTCGGAAGGTGTTTCAGATGCTCATAGGCATCGAAGTGCGCATCGATTTCCCTCATGTTGCCCGCCTCTTTTTGAAGAATACCAGCGATAACTCGGCTCGCTTGGTGGTATCGCTATCCTTGGACGTCGAGTGCTTGCCTTGTTGAGCACAAAGATGAAGAAACGAATCGCGGAGTAGCCTGCTTGTTGGAAAACGTGTATGCGCATAGAGGGGCAAATAAACGTCGGCAAGAGCAAATAAGACTACTGAAAGGAGAGGCAAACGCCGAGGGCTGGCCACGTAAGCTATTCACGCGTTCCCGACGACAGTGGGTGATGGAGTCGCAAGACTGAAATAGACCATCTACTACCCACTGCGGGCCTTTACCCGCCGTAAAGAAGCTATCCTGTAAACGAGACGAAGGCGATCTACCTGCATGTCAGCAAGCGTGTGTCTTCTCGACGGGGCGAGAAGGAGTTAGGCTGGACCGTCGTGGGCCTGAATAGTGGCGCACAAGGCCGCATGAGATCACGTGCGAGCGTGGTGCGGGATGATCGCGGCTGGGTAGTGGCTTGACGTAGGTCACTTTGCGATCTTGGGACCCACTATCGAAGACAACCACTCAAACGTCACCAACCGTCAAGTCTCCCATGGACTGTGAACCCTCGAGTCGCCTCTGATTACACCATGACGAGCGACGATCAGCACTTTCTGAATGTGGTGAGCATAATGGCCGCCTCTGTCTTTGTCCGCGCTGACGGAGTAAGCTGGCGGAGTACTCCAAGGACATCCGCAACTTCACCGGCACGATATGGGACGCCAGCGATAGGCATTTTGCTTGGGTGGCTGGCTACGTCAAGAGGCGTGTCCCCGAGGGATGGCTTCCTGAATACGCTCGACCTCTTCCACCTCCTCCACCCCCGCATCCTATAACGGGTACCTACGTACATCGCCTCGAAGACTGGGTTTCGAGGAATCGAGCGTTAACAGCAGCTCTTACCGCTTTTGTTGGCACCGGCGGGTTCTTACTATGGAGAGAAAGGAAAAATCACAACCGGAAACGGAGAGCGCGGAGAGCCAGTAATGGAGCAAGAAGGGAGGTTATCGGTATGTCCACAGCGTTCACCGTCTGTGGAGCATAAATTAACAAGCGCAGTTATTGCCGGCCCCTTCAATTCAGCCATCACACGGAGCTTATCCCACGACCTAGAAAGACGCGGATTTATCGTATACATCGTATGTTCGAACATGGACGAAGAACAACAAGTCTTGAGCGAGTCGAGAGCGGATGTACGGCCGCTACACCTGGACGTAGTAGACACTATGGGCACACAAGAAGCTATCGAGCGCTTCAATAACCTGCTCACGAGACCGCACGTTGCCTTTTCTGGAGCCAGTCCTCACAACCTCCATCTTCGAGGCATCCTTCTGGTCCCAGACCTCATCTACCCCACAGGCCCGATCGAGACTGTGTCTCCCGAGCACTGGTCCGATGCTTTGAATGCCAAAGTGCTCAATACTATTGCGGTGACTCAGGCGCTCCTACCAACTATTTGCGAGTTCAAATCGCGTGTTCTCATGCTTACACCAAGTATTATTGCGTCGTTACGACCACCCTGGTGCGGAAGTCCCACCACCAATTCTATTCGAATGTTCTTGCTGACATTCGGATAGTAAGTAATTAACCTTTTATACGACACTTCTTAGTATGTCTTGGGTAGTATTCAGATTTGCGGTTAAGAAAAGTGCTAACCGTGTCGCTACTTCCAGTCCACAGTGTGGAGACGACGATTGTTAGTGCTCTCGAAGGCTTCCTAGCATCTCTAAGGGCAGAGCTGGGCACGCTGGGAATCGACGTAGTTCAGTTTCATCTCGGCACGTTCGACTTGAGCAATGCCGCAGGGCCAAAACACCATCTTCAAACGAAGGCGAGTGGAAGTCCGCATGCGTGGCCGACGTCGACTAGGGCGTTGTATGGCGATAATTATGTCAATCAAACACGAGTCGCACACAACCGGGGGCTGCTCAACCATACTGGTAGCTCCCTCCGGGAGTTGCACAACGCTGTATTCGACGCGCTCACGCAGAAGCGGCCGCGGAAAGTTTGGCGCGTAGGTCGCGGCAGTGTGACATATGACCTCGTAGGCAACTGGGCACCTGCTGGTCTCGTTGGATGGATGATGGGCTTGCGGCGCGTGTCGCTTGACACGGCATCGAAGCCGAAGCTGGAGGATAGCGTGCAGTTATCGGACAGGATGGGCGCGATAGCTTAGCAAAGCTTTCTCGGTAAACAGACGACACCATGAAGGTGTTGGATCACGAAGCCTCTCGTGATCAGATGCTCCGAGGGTCGAGATCACCAGGAGGCTCTGCCTAAGGCGGAGTGTACTAATACAGATTGACTAGCGAGGCAGCTATGCCGCTATATCTTTTTGGCGCGTCGGGGGTCGATTCAAAGTTTTGAAATTGGCGAAGAGGGATGACTAGGCAAGGTTATGTAAGAGTAGTATAGAGTCCCTGGGCAATAGACTTGAGCAAGTCTGGTCGCATGGTTAGATTTGGTGTCGCATGGTAGCCCTCCAGTCAATTGTGCGCATGGCGGTACGCAGGTAATGAGAAGATTCTCAGCTCTTGATGTTTGTCAATCGGCGCAAGAACGGTGGTTCGCAGAAATCGTCGCAGTTTAATGAGATGCATCTGGGCCGCGCCACTCCAATCAAATGACACGATGCATGTACCACGATGAACGGGCTTTCCCAAATCGGAAGGCAGCCGAGAGAGGGCGGGCGAGTACGAGTAGTGAAACGAGAGCACCTGAGTCGAGGCGGCATGGCTGGCGGCGCTGAAGTCTGTGTATAGCCATTGAGAGGGGGGGTAGAGGTATACAAGTCGACAGTACCACACCCCCAACCCAACCAAACTACGGCAATGATAATTTGTATGACGGAACTGGTGGCTTTTGTGGCAGGCTGATGAGCTGATGCATGCACGCACGCACAGGGCACAACGGGCGTCGATGCAGGGCCGTCGTTTATTTATTCTTAGTGACCAGGGGAATGAATGAAACCCCAGACGCTGCCGGTTTGACAGCCCTGTCCGTTCGTCGCCAAGCGCTTCAGGAGGTGGAAAGCCTACTACCTAGCAGATAGACGCGACCGAGGGGGTAGAGGAGATCGACTAGAATATCGCGACATCTGCTGCCTTCTCTGCTGCCTCTGCTCTGCTCTGCTCTGCTGCGCTGCCGTGTCCGCTCTTTCGCTGCTGCTCCCCTCCCTCCCCTTCCCTGTCCAGAGATCTACCACACTCTACGGCAAACCACCAACACACCACCACCACTCGCGCCCACGCACACGCACACGCACACAGCCCCGGTCCTGTTGCAGCCAGCATTCCTGCTTTTCGCCGCCCTCCAAAGCCCGCCATCCCATCCCACCCGCATTATTCCTCGCCTTTTGCCTCGACGCCCCTCCCCCGTTTCCCTGCGCGCATGACGACCAGCGTCACCGCCATCCAAGCGCCGATTCCATGAAACTATCCTTGCTGCACACGACTGCCCTTTCGCCTTCGACATGGCAAACTACCCATATCGCCCGGGCGGCCTCGAATTCCGCTCGCAATCCTTCGACCCTCCCCGCAATGTTGGCTTGGGCAATCTCGACAGCGCCAGCATGAGCAGCGTGTCCCTTGCCGACCTTCCTAGCCCGCGCGCTGGTGAAGTCCCCCCCGCGCTTTCTCCTCTGGACGCCCTCGCACTCCAAGGCCGCCTACTGGCCAAGCGATTCGAGCAGCAGGACACCAAGACTGGCCGTCGCCTCAGTCGACTGGCTCCACTCACCATCCAGAATGAATTTGGAAACCGCGGCGGCTACTTCTCCTCTCTGTCTTCTTCCGCGCTCAATTCACCAACCGATGACGAAGGTCCAATATTTCCTAGGCCCGAGTCCTCACCGCGCCAGGAGGTGTCAGACAGGCACAAGTCTTATTACCCTCAACTCGGCGGCGGCGGCGATGAGCTGCAATACACCCAGCCCCTCCCCCCACGAAGTCAGCTGGCTCCAATTGGAGAGACCAGTCCCGGCACTCCGCCGCAGGGCTACTTTGATCTTCCCCGGTCGCACTCTCCAGAAGTCGACGAGCCTCGTATTGGGCTGCGCGAAGCTACACCTGTTAGCCCACAGGCACCTGCACCAACTTCTCGGTTATTCCTAAGTCCACAGAGAAAGCAGTCTACCGACTCTCAACCAAGGTCGCAACCACGCTCCAACCTTCTTCCTCCAAGGTCATCGAGCTCACTACACGCTCAGCGATCTCCTAGACTATCTCCAAGCATCAGGTCGGTTCCCGAGGACAGCTCTGACGAGGTCGAGGACATCTCACTTAGTGGTTCCTATGACTCTATACAACAGAACCGAAATCTGTCGCCCAGTTCCAGCTTCTCCAGAGCACATTCTCCCTTCACGCCTGCGACAGGCTCGTCTATTCCTCGCTCGCCATCAGTATCTTCCGAGTACTCCACCAACGGCTCCAATCTCCCTCGCCCATCTTATAATTTCTCTAGACCGATGAGCAGACAGAGCACTAGACCTTCCTTGGATGTGAGGCCCTCGATAGATGGGTCGTCGCGACAGCACTCTGAAGAAAGTGTCTATATGAGACCTTCCTTCGATAGTCAGCCTAGGCGTCAAGATTCCAATGGCAGTCCCATCAACAACTACGCGAACGAAACTGTCCACACTCCTGTTAGCATGGTGAGCGAGGACTTTCGTCGATCAGCCGACTTGTCCAGCAATCCTGCACCGTCGTACACCTATGCCAAGTTCACCCTACCTCGAGGGAGACATGTCGACCGGAAATCCATAGGCATCGAGGACTTCTTCAAAAGCCAGATAACATGGGACCAGCCTACTCACGCGCACAACCAAGCTCGACCCCCTTCGCCAGATTCACCTCCTCGGTCTTTTGATCAAGTACGAAAAAGCAACGACCGCTATCCCGCCCGTGACGCATCTTTGGACCGTGGGGCTCCCTCCCTCACTTCCAGCAATAGCACAATTCGGGCGCGACCTGCCGGATCAGCCGATACCACTGCTCAAGAACACTGCGACATGGGTCTCCAACTCCATGAAGCAGGTGAACTGTTAAAATCTACCTACCATCTCCGGCTCGCAGCTCGTGCAGGTCTTCCAGAAGCGATGTTCTGGTATGGCCTGGCTTGCCGACACGGCTGGGGCATGCGTGAGAACAAGGCCGAAGCATTGCAGTGGTTACGTCGCGCCGTCGATTCCGGGCAGCTAGAAGTGGCCGATGACGAGGATCTGTCCAAGCATGGACAGCCAACCGACCTAGTGAAAAAGAAGCAGCACAGGGCACAGTACGCTGTTGCCATCTACGAGCTTGGCAAGTGTTACGGAAATGGCTGGGGTGCGGCTCAGGACAAGTCACTTGCATTACGCTGTTACGAGATTGCTGGAAATTGGGGCGATGCCGACGCACTGGTCGAGGCTGGCTACTGCTATGCTGAAGGTGTTGGGTGCAAGAAAGACATGAAGAAAGCCGCCAAATTCTACCGCGCGGCCGAAGCAAAAGGCGTCTCCATGGTTGGAAATAGTTGGATTTACAAGGACAAATACATGGAGGACAACCCTCCTGCCTCTGACTCACGGTCGGTCCGCTCCGGGCGGTCGACGAAGAAAGATCACTCAGACAAGAAATCTCGCGACAAGAGTCGAACACGCACCATCTTCGGCCGCAAAAAGAGTCATAATGCAACACCGGCCTAATCCTACATTCTCTGTACATGTGTCCACGACTTGTCTTTAAGCGTTTGGCGACGGCGTCTGCGGTGCAGCGACTGGTTGTTTGTTTCTGCATATACCTTGGAGCACCCTTTGATTTAGTAGAGCTCTGGCTTTGAACCCATTTTTGACCTCGTTATTGCTCAAAAAATTTCCGCTACCTTTGATTCGACTGTCTTCTTCACGATACCTGCCCGGCGCATGGCTTGGCACCTCCTTCTTTTTTTCGCTCACACTTCGACCATATACCTCGACATCTCGACATAACATCTCCTTTGCCTGCTTGGCCGAACTCGTTTTCCTTTGTCTAGTTTTTTGTTTGTCTGCAAGCATTTCAATTCATTACGGGTGTCAACACTGCATTAATGGAGAGCTGGGTTTCTTCCCTTACATACCATAATACCGGTGCCCATGTACTGGCTGGAGTTTGCGTCGCCGAGTTGCGTCAGCATAAGGCGTCAACACGGTTTCTTGTATGAGAGTGACGGCGCTGTGCATACGGTTGGACTGCGCTTTCGGAGACAAAGCTGTAGGGTGTAAAAGAGTGTGTATGGACAGGAGAGCTAGCTCCACGGCAGAAGGAAAAGAGGAGTATTCAAAGATACCATACTGTTAAAAAACCTCACTATGAAGTTACCGTTATCCTCGAACTTTGTTGCCCAAAAACTTGCAAATCCCTCCAAGTCTCATCATGGTGTTTTAGAGCTTGGCCTTTTGAGATGGCATAGGGCGTGCAGGGGTGTATGCGACGACATCTCTAGCCGCGCAGCCTTTTTTGTTATCAAAGCTGAGGAAAGCCGCCCTTTTGATAAATCACTAATAACATACATCCTTGCTATGATACAAAGTGGAGCCATTCACATTGCCTCTTTCGGCGTAGTCTTGGTAGCAGAACTCCATCGCGGTACTCTTTGACGGCGGAGCTCCACAGAGGTATAGATTAGCATTTTGCGTGGCCATTTAAAAGAGGCCATTGGAGCTAACAAAGACAATCCTGTCCGGCTTAGCGTAACAGAGCTGCACAGTGAGCAAGCTGACAGTCAAATGGCGACGAAAAATGTATGTGACCAATTTGAATCCTTCAAAAGTATCGATTTCTATTCGCCGTTTAGCACTATGTACTATCAGTTTCGTTCTGGTAGCCTGCTTCGTTTGATTGGGTCTGTCTGACTCAACTGTCAGCTAGCCACACGCATTCGGAGGCAGCAGGCGGAACTCCACGTAAGCAAAAATTGCTTCTTTGGGGGTCATGCCACGAAAATAGAATGCGAGTAGTGAGTATTTTCACTGCTAAAGATCTGCACCAAATCCGATTTAAAAAGACTTGCTTTGGTTGCTCCAAGAACCAAACATGTTTCTTTATAATGGCATCTACATACACTGACAAACAATCCTCTCCTCTCCTCCGCGTCCCTGCCGAAATCCGTATTATAATCTGGACCCACGTACTCGGTGGCGAAACCTTCTCCATACACTGCTGGCGACGCTACACACCCTTCGGCTTCGCCTCACGCATAATCCAGAAGAAGCGGAACTTCCTCGCCCTACTAGCTACTAGCCGCCAGGTCTACTCCGAGACCAGATTGCTGCCCTTCCAGTTCAACGCGTTCCGCTTCAAGCATCAGTCATCCTTCCTGTCGTTCCTCGCGCACTTTGCGACAGACCAGCAAATGGCGATCCGCAATGTTGAGTTGGTGACGTGGATGGCAAGGCATATGGTCGATGGCGAGGGCTGGGTGCTGGGTAGAGTAGAAGAGTGCTTTCCTGTTACACGGTTTGGGGGGTTGAGAAGGGTGAATGTGGAAGTTAGGATGAATGGATGCGAAACGGATTGCGTGAGAGGGGACTGTCTAGGGTGTGGGGGAAGTGAGGTTGGTGTTGGGGAGGAGGAGAGGAGGGTGAGAGAGTGGTTTGAGGGGAAATGTGAACGCGTCGAGGTCGGTTTTGAACGTGTCATGGCTTAGCATAGCTCACTATGTCAGCTAGAGATGAGGCTGTTCGCGTTATGAAGTATCCATTCTTGTATCTACGAGATACCATATCGAATTCCGAAACTAGGTGGAGTCAAGAAATTACCGTCGTCGACAGACCGCTGTTACCTGCAAATTATTAGAAACCAGTAATATATGAGCATTGTTCTAGATAGTTGATGCCTCACCAGTTTAATTTTTCACATGTGCCAACTTCGAATATGAGGCTTTGGTGGTACCCAACTGAGCAACCCTACGAAGAGTTAGTTTAGTCTAACCCACGTATTGTGTATGACAGTATGTACCTTCCACTCTTGATTCAGCCTGACCTGAAAAGGCGGCCTTGGTCCTACTCGAAAGAGATCTCGGCAGCCCTTACTCCAACCTGCAGAAAAGCGTCTCGAATCCTGTTGTACCAATACTCCTTAATCCGAGTATCCTCATCTCGTGGGCGAAACCGTTGGACAATGACTCGGCTCAGTCCAGTAAGCCGGCTCCAATTAGACATTTGCTTAACCGAAGTTTCCTCGAAACGCCCCCAACACGCGCTAAACAGCCTCACAGTCGTAATCGCATGTAGTTGCTGTGGTGCCAATGTAGAGAGTAGGTAAGATAATAGAAGAGGAGGCAACATGAACTCGTTGCGCTCAAGTGGTAGAAGCACAGTCTCAGAGCGAATCTGGCGACATAGAGTAGTCGTATTATTGAGTGTACTCAGAGAGTAGCCAGTTGGTTGCCAATCGGTTGCACGATACATAGGGTATTCCCTACTAGGGCCGAGCACATGGACGATATGGCCACTGAAAGCGTAGTCGTAGATTCTGTTGCGGATCTCACCTGGGAGACGGAGGAGAGGCGACTCCCTTTGATTGCGTAACGTTCTAGGATTTGTCAGCTACGATAGATAGTATACGCTCGAGAATACTTATATGCCATCTGCTTCTGGTTTTGACAACCCTTTGCGCGTAGCTTGATTCTGCATTATGGCATGCACAGTCATGGTTGAGCGTGATACAGGCCTAGTCGAAAACCGTTGTGGAGTGAGAAGCAAGTAGCATGAAATAGAACGAACAACATCCCGTTGGTGAGAGCTTATGACATCATCCAAGGATGTTCAGGTAAGGGAATGGATTCACCTAAAGCTTGTCCCTCAAAGTAGGTGTGTAGTTGCTGCACTTGCAATCGCAACCAACCCGTTACTCAAAGATTATATCAATATCCCTACCAACATTGCTCAGTGCCGTTCTCAACTCCTGCTGGTACGCTTCCTGCCACTCAGCGCTTGCTCTACGCATAAATGCCCTACACTTTGTATTTACCACAATCCTCTTCAACCCCCCAAAGATCCCCAAATCATACGACGACAACAATACCCCATCTATAAGCACATAACAATCCAGCCTCAGTGTTGTAACATTAGCACGCTGAGTAGGCTGTATGCACCTCATAAACTGGAGACCCGTCTCCACGCTGCGGATGCGAAAGTCGTTCTGGCGGAATGGTAGAAGAGATGTCTCAGCGTAGATTTGGCGACATATTCTCGTGGTGGCAAGGAGGTTGGTGAAAGGAGGGTGTGGACCAAGAGGGTATGGACCAAGAGGGTGGAGCTCGTCCTCTACACAGAGGCGAAGGCGCCCGAATGGCGTATTGGTGATAAGGATACATCGCTCTGAGAAAGTGTATTCGTAGATCTTGTTCCGTATTTCACCGGGAAGACGGAGTAGAGGGGATATGGTGTGATTCCTCAAGCTGCTGCAATACTGTCAGTTAATATGGGCACGTCGCCTGGTTTCACTCACATCGCCTGGTTTCACTCACATCGCGTCTGCTTCCTTTTCTGATAAGTGTTTACGGGACGTCATAGCTGAGTATGCTGGGCGTTGAATCGAGCAGACGTGGTGTAGCAGTTGGAAACAGAATTGCAGAGGCACGGAACAAGTCACATAATCTTTGTAAGAGCTTATGACATCATCACAGGTAAATGACGACAAACAAACTGTACAGAGAGACATCGCTTGACTGAATTGGAAGTGAAAGGTAAGAGGATCCGGTAGAGAGGAACAAAATCTGAAATCACTGACAGTTGTTCTCCTCGTAGCTCTACGATCACAAACAAGAACTCAGCTCCTACCATGTGTGGGATTTCGGTATCGTAGTATGCATCCCTTGTGGATAGTAAAAAAAATTGGGACCAATGTGAAGTAAACTGGCACAGCTGGAGTGTGCTCACTAGTTGAGAATTTCTCGCTCGCTCAGCACCCTCGTCATATATTTCGCCTATCGTGCAGTAGTTCATACCAAGCATTACTACATGGATATCGTCAAATGCACTGCTCACTTGCTAGCCCCGTGGTTACTCTTCGTCATCCTCCGCAGGCGCCTGTAGCTCTTCCACGTCTTCCTCCTCAAAGGTGTGAAGGGGTACCGAGTATAGGCGGAGAAGAGACTTGTTGGGATCCTTGATTAGGACATACTTGCCCTCGTCCATCCGCAGTACCATGTCGACGATGGTACGAACGATGGCCCACCCATTGTTGAGATTGAGTGCCATTTGGGAGGCAAAATCACGAGGCTTGTTGGTGAGCACACCAAGGATGACATGATCGTTGTTGTTCTTGGGGTTTGAACGGGAGACGAAGCTGTACTTATGTTAGTTTTCGCTGATAGCAGGATCTGGGAGTACATACCCAAGTTTCATCGTATCGGCCTTGGCTAGAATACTCTGCACAGCCCATCGAGCAAGCTTGCAAGAGTTGTTCTTCATTTCCGTGGCAAGAACCGCACCCCTTTGGCTTGCCAGCTTCGACCTCCAATCCAAAGCACCACCAGCGCCCTGTGCCTTGTTATCGAACTCGTTCAGCGCCTTGATGGTCAGATATTGATCTTCGCCGTTAATGTTATTCTTCATAACGGCATCCAGCTCCGTTCGGACAATCAGATGCAGCGGCTCCTCATCCTTCTCCAGGGACAGGTCGAATCGTCGGTACCTGTAGGCTTTAGATGCCGGCGGGTCGCTCTCAACCTCTCCGTTATAGAAGGGATGCTCGTGCGTCATGGTAACCTTGTTCGTCTCGGACTCAGAGACAACTTGGAGAGGGAAGACGTTGTTGATATGGGTAGCCTCCTGCATGAGTGCACCTGGGCTGTTGATCGAGTCTTTGTTACCCTCAGATATCTCAAGGGGAGCATCGGCGGCGTTCTCATTTACAGTGACCATGTCCAGGTTCGAACCATCGCGCTTGTCGATAAAGACCTTGCTGCCCTTCTTTGTGAAGACAAGATCCCAGGAGTAGACGGACTTTGTGGCGCACATGAGCATAGACAGAATACTATCCGTGGCGAAGACGGTAGCCTCGTCTTTGTCAGCAAGCTCTTGGATAATTGGGTCGCTGGAAGTTGTGACGTTGTAAGCAGCGCGTTCGAGAATGTTGAGTCTTCGCTCCGAGGTCTTCGCGCCCGGCTGCTTGTCGTAGCTGCGATCATAGTAGTACAGGAAGCCGTAGTTGTCGATATCCTCGCCGTCTCCGGTATCCAGGTTGAGTTTGCCCAAGCGCGAGAAGTCAATTTCCTCCATGACAGCCCACTCAGGCTTGACCTGAACTGAGGCATCACGGTTGCGCTGTGGCTTGTCGTCCCTCCAGCCAAAGCGACGTCCTCCCCTTCCGCCACGCCCACCACGCTGGTTGTCGTACTGCTGTCCACCGCGGCCACCGCCGACGCGCTGGAAGGTACCCCGTCCTCCGCGCTGCCCTGCCGGCCCGCCCCGCTGTCCTCGTCCGCGGAAAACAGTGCCACCTCCTCTTCCAAATCCTCGGCCCCGGGCTGATGTCCGTGTGTTGTCTACAACGGAGAAAGTGGCCTCCTCTTCTGCGGCCTGGATAGCGAAAGGGTTCGTCTGCTGGTTTGCGCCGTAGACTTGCTGGTCTGCGGGGTAGCTGTTAGCCATGTTCTATACTGCAACCATACAAGACTTTTGTACCTCTGTAGTTTCTGTTGCCATACTGCTGGCGACCTCCCCGCTCACGGTCCTTGCCCTCTGTCCAGTCGGCCATGCGGCCCAGTTTGTCTGCCTTTGAATAAGGCGCAAATGGGACTCCATCGAGCATCGTCTCGGTGGAGACGGTAGGGCCCCATCCTTCTGTGGCGGGCAGCGCAGACACGAGGTCCAGTAGTGACGCAGGTGCCATATTTGTCGGAGTGTTCGTAGCGTTGGGCTTGAACTTCGTTGTTGCCGCACAATACCTCACGAAAATGCTCGAAGTGGGCTGCCAAGTTTCGCGCGCTAAGGAAAATCGGCTACTCCAGTCCCACCTGACGACCGGCGGCCGTATGGTTCTTCCGTTGCCGTGCACGGCTTCCGTATGGATTGTAATCTATACGCCTGTCATGATTTGGATGTTGATTCCTATAAACCAAAACGCATCTAATAACCTAATAACATTTACCTAACCTATCTTGCACACATTCGCCCACCCGCTTATTCCTCACCGCACTCCCTTTACCTATCTGCCCTATTCCCCACCGCAGCTATGTTCAACTACCTTGTTTATTTTCTCTACGAGTGCCACAGGGGAGCAACAACCAGGGACGCGCATTACTAATTGCATTCCTTCTCGTAGCATAGTGCTAAGTGTGTTTTACTTGCATATGCAACCTAGCGTGAGATCAGACTGCATTGGATAACCTAATCAATCAATGACTCTCACCAGATTGTAGTCATCGTCGAAAAGAAGGCTCCCGAAATGGAGATCAAGATGTCATAGTGGAAATGGGCCTCGGACCCATCTCCAATGATGGTGTGGGCTAAAGCTGTTTTTAGCACCTAACATGCCGTTTGCCAGTCTGCATTGCTCGGGTGCAAGGCGACAATTTCTCAATCTTCCCCGTGCCGTTGGTTGTAAAAATATCCTAGCGACGTTTCCAAAGGGCCGGGCGTATGGTGCCATGCCATGGGAATGATTTTGACAGGCTGACCCGCACTCTCTCCACACCAATACACACGGTCGGAAAATGCAAGCTCGAGAACCAAGTTGTCAAGACCTGCTGCAAACTGGGTCAGGTTTATGCTGCACTTGACATCGGGGTGTGGGTTCATTTGATGCCTGCGTCGCGAGTCTATTGCGCACTTCTTTAGATGCACAAAGTTTGCTGCAGAAAGTATGCGCTTGATTCGCTTATATTTGTCTGACTCTGGGCTTAGACCAGTAAACCCTGACCAATTTTCACTTGGCCTTGCCATTGTACTCGGTGTTGGGAATGTAGGATGAGGAGTGAGCGGCGATGTGCCTATTCCTAATAGGTAAGGTCGCGCCAATCACCCGTGGACCTAGGTACCACGAGGCCATGCCCTCACACTTACAAAAAGCTCACTCACCTGCAACAGAAAACGGGTCTTGAATCAGCTCTTCTACTTGCAAACAAACGTCACTCTTCTCTCTTATTTAAGCTACACCGACACTGTCTCTGCTACTCGGCTCGCACAACACACAATGTCACTCCTACAACTTCCAACCGAGATTCTAATTCTAATTTTCGACTACGTCGGCTCGTACTATTTCCGCTCGGACCTGTCACGCCTTACAGTCAGTAAGCAGTGGGGTAAATTTGCACATACCGCGTGCTTCCAGGAGTTTTTCGTTACCCAAAAGACACTGCGACGCTTGCTGTCTTCTCCGTATATGGAAGCAAGTCTACTTCTACTCAAAGATAGCGTGGAAGTCCTAGACCTAAGCTTGAAGGGTTTTGCAGACTGGGACTCTATTCCGCTATCTCAACTCGATTTGCAGGCCATCAATGTCCTGGATGTGCCAACTTGGGACGGACCTCATGGACGCGCAGTGTGTGCAGCCTGGACAACAGAGCTTGCCAACGATCTCTCCCACCTTGCCACTATTACGAAACATTCACGGAAACTACGCATCCTACGCATCCAGGCCACCAGTGAACTACACCCGCTACTTCCTCTTCTAGAACGCCGCGACTATCTTTTTATATCAACAATACGCGCCTTCCTATCGGCCAGCAACCTGACTAGTCTAGAGTTAGACTTATGCGGCACCCGACTGATACCGTGTCAAAGCCAAGAACACGTCGAAGATTTCCATGTCTGTACGAGTATCGCTGCGCTTCTTACTACACTACGACGTTTACGACTGCGTATGCGCAACATCTGTGCCGAAGTTCTAAAACATAGACCATATAGCACCAATCTACATTTGGACGAGATGCTTATTAACCTCAGTCTATCCAACGAGTCCCCCCTGAACACCTCGGCGGCGCACGCCACATGTTGCGGTTCTTCCCCGGGGGCATTCCTCCAGTTGAAAGCAGATATGGAGAGCCAGGCGCAAGATCTTATAGCACAAACAACCGCCCCCAAAATAGCGAGAATATTGACTCATGCGCTTCCTAGTCTTGAAATGAGGGCGTTCGATGTCTTGACCGGTAGAAATCTCGCATTGAGTGAGGGTGCGGAGTGGGATGCCGATGGTGAGGTGATCCAGGACGAGGTGTCGGACGAGGAGTCTGAGATTTCAGATCTTTCCTCAGACAACGAATAGATAGCCAGTAGTGGTGTTAGGATTTTAATATTGTCCTATCCTTCAGGCAACTTTGTGGTAAGTGCTGTGCCTAGCATGATCGAAGTGAGCCATGTCAGTGGTTGCCTCACCGAGCCTGAACGCAATTACTAAAGCATTCTCACAACAATTAGCGCTTCGCCCTGTTCTTCGTTAGCGCCGATCCCTAAACCTACTTATTAGACTAAATGAAACATTGCGTCGTCTATATATTACAAAGCCCAACACCTGCGTCAACCTCATATATTTAGAATAAGCCATGACTAACGAAGTACTTGTTCACATCTCCACACCTACTACAACGCAGAATGACGCACTTTATCGATCTATCTATGAAGCGTATCTCGTATTCGAGCCTCAGAAACGCTCTACGGCCAAATCACAACAAGAACAACATGAACAAAAGCATCCTACCGCTTCCCGGCTGAACCCCACCGCGGCGCCAAATTTTGCTGCAAACCCTTCAATGTTCTCGACTAGTAAGGACTCTTATGGGAGCTTTCCGTCCTATCTTTCTGATGGCCTGGCAAACGAATACGGTCCAACCAGCACCCCGCCGCACTACGGCTCGTTGGAAGACTGCTCGGTCCCTATATCAAGCCGACTAAACCGATTAGAACACATCCACTTGAATTGGAAGGACAGGACCACTCCAAAACTAAGTGCTGTCGATAAAGCACGGCGATCGAGACAGGCTTCGTGTGATGCGGAAGAGGCTAACACTACTTTCATTGAGGATACGCAGTTAGCTGTCCAGACACTCCAAAGTCAATTACAAGACACTTACTCAATAACCTCAGAAGACACCTCCGAAGACGATGTTGTACCTGAACACAAGAGTCATGAAGACCGGCAACTAGCTGTTAAGAATAGTCAAGATACTGGTGGAACCAGAGTCGAGGTATTGGCATCAGCTCATTCAATGATACCCGGGGACGTCAACACGAAGCCCCAAGAGGACCCACGATTGAACAGTACGTTGGAGTTGTATATGCCTGTCAGTCAAGTACGATCAGATAACCAGCCCAATTTGGACGGTCACGCAACTTCTGTGGATTCTCTGGATTTGACCAAACTTCCAGTCGATGCATTCTCGCCAGCGTCAAAGGTCTCAGTCGCGCAACCGGGTACTTTACCCTCACAAATCACAGATCACCTGGCAAAGATAGTCTTGCAACACCCAACGCGCTTCAAGCCTTCTAAGAAGCTTCGTACCCCGAAGCCTGACGATCGTGGTTATTGGTCCGTCAATTGTTCGGTTTGGAGAGGCAAGCTGCAGCATGAGTTCTGGTCTTCTCTGTGCGAGCACGTCTTGAGTGGAAGACTAGGTTGGGGCTCGACGGTACACCGAGAATCTTCTACTCGGGTGCTCGGTCAGATCAAGTTGTATTGCTGGGGAGAAGTAGTGGAGCACATGTGGTTGGTACTGTGGATTTGTTCCAGGGGTAGAGTCTCTGGATCACGATCGAAGTGGTACGATGCTGACGGTATTGCGGTTTTCGAGGTTCCCTAGGGTTAGCCACTATAAAAGTTGCTGACGTTGGATACTATAACCCCGAACGTGGAGGCAAGCTAGACGTCCATATACTGATATACACTCTTTCAAAGCAAACAATTTTGCTGAACGAACAACATATTCCGCTCAATCTTCTCTAGTTTATGGTACATGCTATCGGTGTAATTTCTTGACACGTGGATGTTTTGAACCTCCCTGGAATGCGCGTTGATAAGCATTTTCGTACGTGTGAAACGCCGACGCCAAGGGACGCGTTCAGGGCTGATCGCTCGCCCTTCAATCAACCCTTGACGCCGCAGCGGCGCGCAAACGTCTATTTCACTCGGCAATGTGATCTTACGCTCGAAAATCCCCTAAGATGGCTCCACGACCGCAAGTCATACCTCACAGACGCGCAAGCTCTGATAGTAGCGCCGACGAACAAACGCTTTGCGAGCAGACCTCGGACGATGAAGGTTACGACGGCAGACCTTCCGGCGAGTTGTCCGAAGGCGACCACGACATACTGGAGTCAGAAGATGAGCGGGAACGACTGTTGACTCAGAAAGATGGCATATCTGGCATGTTTGGGAAGGGATTGTCCGGTGTCAAGATCGGGAAACGGGACAAGGTTGAGATGAAAGAGCGTAGAAAGGGCGGAAATGACGAGTCGAGTGCGCTCATGTACGAGATGGAGGAAGGAATTGGTGGTGCATCGAGTACGAGTCTGAGATCAAGCAGGAGTTCACAGAGCGATGAGCAACGGCTACACGCGGTCAGGTCACAGAGAAAGGCATGCTTAGCCTTCCCCACGCGCGGATGAAGCTAACATGGAGTATAGGCACGGAGAAATGGTCTATGGCGTCGACTATGCATATACATCTCAATCATCGTCCTCTTCGTAGTCCTCCTCTCCGCCTCATACCGTCTCTCAACCCCCAAAGACAGCGCAGCTGTGGTGAATATGATCTCGAACGGAACCTCTCTGTTCGCACCCACGACTATCCTCATATCCCTCGACGGGTTCCGCGCTGATTTCTTATACCGCAACATCACGCCAACGCTGAACCAATTCATACAAGAAGGCATTTCGCCGAAGTACATGCGGCCCAGCTTCCCAAGCGTTACCTTTCCGAATCATTACACGATGGCCACTGGCATGTATCCTGAAGCACATGGTGTCGTAGGCAATAGCTTCTGGGACCCAACACTCGAGAAAGAGTTCTTCTACACGGATCCGGAGAGGAGTTTACAGTCACACTGGTGGGGTGGAGAGCCGATATGGGTGACAGCAGAGAAGCAGAATGTTAGGACAGCGGTGCACATGTGGCCAGGCTCCGAGGCCCATATCTTGGATCAAGACATAGCGTATGTCGACAAATACAACGGCTCCGAACTACTACACATAAAGGTAAACCGTATCATGGACCTCCTCGATGTGCCAGGCCCCAAAGACATCGGCGTGAACGCAGACACCCCACGACCTCAGCTGATCGCAGCATATGTCCCAAATGTCGACGGTGATGGCCACCAGTATGGTCCCAACAGCACTGAGATTCGACAAACCATTGCCAATGCAGACGCCATGCTTGGAGATATCCTGAAGGGACTACACAAACGCAATCTCACCAACATCGTCAATGTAGTCGTCGTCTCTGACCACGGCATGGCTACCACTGATGTAACCCGCCTCATCCAACTAGAAGACCTCATCGACCCGGCTGAATTATCCCATATCGACGGTTGGCCTCTCTATGGCCTTCGCCCTAAGAACATATCAGACCTCGATCGTCTATACAGCCAGTTGAAAGCCAAATCTAACGATAATCCGAACATTGAAGTCTACCTCCGCGACGAAGACATGCCCGAGCATTATCACTTTAGCAAGAATGAGAGGATTGCCCCGTTGTGGATTGTGCCCAAAACGGGCTGGGCGATTGTCACGAAAAATGAATTCGATGTCGAGGAGGGGAAGAGGAGGGGTGATGTATATCATCCAAGGGGATTGCATGGGTACGATCACGAGCATCCGCTTATGAGGGCCATTTTCATCGCCAGAGGACCTGCCTTCCCGCATATGCCGGGAAGTCTGATGGAACCTTTCCGTAAGTCAACAGCTTTCTTTTATACTACTAGGGGATTGTTGTGTTAGTTATCGTGTGGGCGGTGCATGGTTGCTGACTATATGGCAGAGAATATCGAACTTTACAACATAGTGTGCGACTCTATTGGCCTAGAACCCGCCCCGAACAACGGAACACTCCGTCTCCCCTTAAAGCCAGTAGGCCATCATAATGATCCTGCAGGTTCCAATGAAACACCCGAGGACCCCGTCCCTCAAAACTCCCTTCCGCCGACTTCAGCCTCATCGTCGCCTTCATTAGCAACCATGTCCGTAGGCCTCGACTCCCTTTCTAGCATCGCGGCATCAGCATCAGGGTTGGAAGATACTTCTCCGTCTATTGATGACACTATATTGAGACCGACTCCCCCTAATGTGGTCTCAGAGGTGCCACCCGCACAAACGAGTGGGAAGGGGAAGAGCTTGTGGGAGTGGTTGACGCATAAGGTAGATGAGGTGGAAGATTGGGTTGAAGGCCTTGTGCATGAACATGTGTCTGGGCAGGACAAGGATAGCGATGCCAGCGAAGGATCTTAAATTCGATTTGAAGATTGGCGTTATGTGGGATTAGATTTAGTTTTGTCAGCGTGTAAATGATACCCAATATTCAAGATTCGCTCGGTCGAGTCTGGTTCATAATGATGTTTGGTGTCTGCATAATGAGTGAGGACGGATGATCTATCAAGCCGGAAATGTCTCATTGGTACGAATGCTAATGTAACCGCCATGCTGTGCTAATGCTTTAATTCAACAGGTATCAAAAGTTTACATCGCAAGCTCATCCTCACTATCCGTATCACCAGCCCAAGCTCTTTTCATCGGTACAGTGTGAAAGCTCCTTCTGGTTGCCAATGTCTTCGGACGCGGCGTTGATCTCTTAGTCCACGACTGCTTGATCTGCTTCAAGAAGGTTTTCCTGTTGAGTTTCGAAGTAGACTTGGAACTTGATGAAAGTACACCCGAGTGCTGCAACGACAATTTCGGGGTTTGAAGAGCAGACGTACTGAGAAGGGAACTAGTAGGTGGAGGCGTGCTGAACTCGCGCTTGATGTAGGGAGTACGAGGTGTTTGAATCTCATCATCGCCGACAAGATCAACGGAAACGCTCTTGGGTGTCATGTTGTGCATTGCGCGGGGTTTCGCTTGGTGTCGTTCGAGATTCTTTGCGGATTTGAACGATTTATGGCAGATGTCGCAAGGGAAAGCACCACCCGACGTTCTTGCAGAGTTCTTATTTACATTGCCGAGCTCAGCATCCCCCTGTTCTTCGTCCTCGGAGTCTGGCACTGTTTGAAAGTCAATGGGTGTTGTCTTTCGTCTTCTCTTGCTACTTGGTGAGGTGTGTAGAGGCTCGATCTTGATAGTATCCATAGGGGCCACGATGGCAGTAGGAACAGCGTCTGCGACAAGTGGCTCTTCAAGTAGGTCTGGCTGGAGTGTGTGTTCATCGACAAAGGCGTTCGTCTCAACGGAAGGTAGGACCATGTCCGCGTGGGTAGTATAGAATGTTTCCTTTTCATTTACGACTGGAAGTTGCTCCTCGTCTGTGTCACTGCCATCCAAGGACAATAACTCGCGCTCGTCATCGTCAAAATGTGCGCTTGACGACAACACATTACTACACGGTTCTGATTCGAATTCCTCAAATTGACCCTGGCGATCCTCGTCCTCCAAGGAGCTTGGAGTGGGCAGGTGGTGTGTCTCGGCGGGCGAAGTTTGTTGATTTATCAAGAAATGGCCTTTGTCGAGCGCGGTCGGAGGTATGGAGGGTTCTCGAGGCCCTAGAATTGATGCGGGAACCTTTTCCAGATTGAGTTTCTTATCTTTAAGATGCTTACTCCATCGCGTTGCAAATACGATCTCTGGCCAACCTTCCCATTTCTGTTTACTGTTCTTTATCTCAGCCCAGGTGCGCTTGTGTAGTTGTTTTCTCTTGCTGATATATACATCGTCTTCTTCGGTAAAGTGGTAAGTCCTAGATCTGCCTACTGGTCTCTTTCTAATCTCCACACGAGGGCTTGCTCGACGAGATTGGGGGTTTGAGGAAGCTTGTTCTCTCACAATCGAGCAATTCGAAGCCGGTCCCACGCTGGTTATTTCTCGGGAACTCTCTGATCTTATCCTCGTTGCCTTGTGGTCTTGATTTTGGTGGGAGGTGTCCTTCTCGATTTCCTGGACAGGCTTGATCTTGAGGACGGACGTGCTAACAGGCGCTGAAATGGGACTTGACCGGGCCAAGTGTTGTTCCCGCGGTTCAGCAGACAATGGTGGGAAGAACCATTTTGGGTCCGTTGCAGGTGCAATCTTATCGCCAATGGTAACAGGTGTAGTCGGTGTAGGGAGGACGTTCGGAAGAGGTAGTTGTACGTTTGGTGTAGTAGCGAATATACTCGAGAATAAGGGAATAACAGCCTGTTGTACTGCGTGGTCAATTGTCTGAGTCAAGGTCGTGTAGAAGGTGTTCTGTGCCTGCTGTCCTGCTGGTGTTTGTGGAAACTGCACGAGCTGCAGCAGGTTTGCGGCGGGGTTTGGCGTATTAGGGATTTGTTGTGCACCAGCTTGGATTGTCGCGCTTGCTGGAGTAGATATGTGTTGGAAAATTCGCTGGTTACTATCGCAAGGTGGAGGCTGCGCGACTGTCTCTGCAAATGGTTGCTGTTGTCCCTTGGTGGTGTCGTCAAGCCGCCTCTTGTTCGACTCTGGTCGCTGCGTAGGCGCCAATTCGTCTTCTGAGTCCTCGCTGTTTGCTACTCCGTCAGGAACATCCTCCGTGTCCTGTCCGGCTACCATGCCCAAGGTATCCAACAGTACTGTCTCCTTCCGATTGACCTGGCGCACCAATCTTCGCAAATGCCCTCTATCCACGACTACTCTGTTCTCTCGCATATCGATCTCGTCGCTCATGGACTCGTGCATGTTCTCATACTTGGCGAATATTGACTCCAGGCTTCCCTTGAACTTCTGTTCTTGTTTCTGCTTCGCATTGATATAGTCGGGGTTCTCTTCGTCCACTTCGACGGACCGCAGGATGCGCAGTCGCTTCGCCGGGGGCTCCATGGCGTAGAGAGGGGGGCGAGAAAACGGACGTCCCGAGACGGGTCTATGCTTTGAGGGTTGTGGCTCGG